TGATAATGAAAATATTTTTTGTATTTTACGATTATATATTTCTTACATATGTAACTTTGAATGCGATCAACGAAACAATAAACAAACAATTATTAGCATAATTGAGTTTTAAAAAATACATAAATTTTATTGAAACATTATAAAATGACAAAACATATTTGAAGTACTGTTTTCGCACGAATTCCAAAATGAAATGCAATTTTGAGTTCCTCCGACACGTCCTGAAAACAACTACGTCCTCTGGCAATTTTTAAAAAATAATAGTGTTGTAAACAATTCATCGCCGAACTTCACCCGAATCACTTCGATTTCTCGGAAAAAATATTGACTTATTAAATATTAAAACAAAAATGTATGAAAATAGGTGTATTTTAAATAATTATGTATATTACATTTCTGACCACAACTATGGCAAATAAATTTATCCTAATTTAAAAGAGCCCCGTACTCATAGCCAGATTTGTATTTCCTTTCTTTTTAAGGAGAATAAATGCCATTTCCAATTATGAACATTACTTGTGATTGTTTGTTGTTGACATTAAATTTTACTTAAGGAGCAATTATTTTAATGGTTTATTTTGCTATTTCTCCAATTCAAGGCGTTTTTCTATCAATATACTTTGAGTAGTGAGAACCGATTTTTATTATCTCCAGTGTCAAGTCCTGTATAGTGGGGAACTAGGGGATATTTCAATAAAACTTAGCAAATAGACGTAATTGTGTACGTGGGTACTTTTGAGGTCGGTTTTTTAGTACTCTGTACTGAGATTATTCTCCCGTCGCGTCCGCTCTTTGTATACTCAACGGAATATAATAATACTTCTTGAATACAGCTAGTTGAAAAATAAATAAAACTCAGGGTCGTATTCCAAAACTCTACTCAATGCTCAAGTCAGGATTTGTTCAGACTTGAGTATGATTTCGTATTTTGAGTATGAATACGACACTAATGGCAAGGACTTGAGTATGATTTTCAGTGCTCACTGCAATACTCAAGTCCTGACTTGTGTATTGAGTAGAGTTCTGGAATACGACCCTCAGCCTCTTCTTTAATTTATTATGTCGGTATGTAACGCTATAATTTTATTATGACAAAATGACTGTACTTATATCTCACCGAACATTGAGTTGGAGTGGAGTTACCGTGTTTTGCTAATAACGTCGTCCACCACAAGTTTCGTATTGTTTTTATTTTATTAAAAAAAAGGAAGCGACTTCAAATTTTGCTCTATGTATACATACAATCTGAAAGTAAAAAAGGTAACAATCGGTTACCGGAAAGTGCGAGACACCGGATTAATCCCTTAGTTTCTAACTCTTAGAGGTGGAATATTTTCTTAAATTTAAATGGGATCAATGCTGAGGTCTTTCCAACAAAAAAAGAGTCATCAAAGTCGTTTCACAAATAAAAAAAAGAGAGCGGAGTAATCGCGCAACATATACCTACACAAAAAATACAGTCAAATTAAGAACCTCCTCTTTTTTGAAGTCGGTTTTAAACTACCGTACATAGTAATGTACGTTACCTGTTATATGGTATACCTGTTCACGGCTAGTTAGGGTTACAACCCTTTCAACATTATTAAAAGTTATTCAGAATGAATTCGTTAAAAGATTCAATTTGTGTATCCAAGAAAATGGAGCTTATTTCGAGCAACTAATTAGTTAAATTACCATTTTTTTTCCTTTTATTAAAATACGTTAAGATTTCATGGTTTTTTTTTTCATTTAATTAACCGTTTTTGTGAGAGAGATTTTATTCTTATAATTGACCCTATCGATCGATGCAATAAAAGTGCAGGGTGCATTTTTTTCAGATTAAAGTGGTTCGATTCCCACGTGTTGCTAGAAATTTTCGAAAATCTATGAATGCAGTTTTATTTCTTTAAAAAAATAAAGGAATGTTTCCTTTAAGTAAAAATTTCTATCTCCAGTATTTAGAGTACTTTCCCTCCAGGTGGCATTACAAATTTCCACCCTGTATAGCTATCTATTATTATTTTTATTGTGACTGAAGCTGACAAATCTGTTGAAATATCACAGGCCGTATTCCTAATTAAAAGAGACAAGACGAATAAAACATTTTTTCGTTTAACTTTGACATTGGTTGACATCTTTCAATGGAAAATTTTAGTTTTTTTTAAATGAAAATAATCGCAAATATGTGAAATCTGTATACCTGCCTAAAATTATAAAAGTAAATAATACAAAAAACCACAAAATATTAAATGGCCGTTAAAAGTTCCATGTTCGTATTTCAGGTTGTAATAGAGAAATTGTCTAGTTTTGTTGAGAGTCGCGGCTTAGTGGTAAGGGCAAATTTTGCCGATATATTTTCGCTGGAGCTTAAAGACCCTAAGTCAATGCACATAGTGATGCCTGAGCCTCCACCGCTGCCGCCTGAACCTGTCGGGAAAGGCAAAAAGAAAAAGCCAAAGCCAAAAAAAAAAGGTAAGAAAGGAAAAGAACCGCCACCACCACCGGAGCCAGCTATACAAGCAGGTCAATCTGTGCTATTCACCAGTACCGCAGAATTCATTATTCAGCTAATGAAGACTTGTCCGATGGAAGTTTCGCTATGGAACAAGGAGGAAGATCCAGCTTTTATTGGGTCGACATTGGTCCATTGGGATCCTGTCTTTTTTCAATATCTCGTTAAAGTATTTAACTGCCAAGATACGACTCCACCGTTTGTAAAAGATGAATACAATGTATTCCAAGAAGGAACATCCAAAATATTAGCGAAGATAACTTTACAAGTCAAATTGAGCAATCTTACGGACAGAGTGGTCACAACTTTTCGAACTCTTTCGGAAGATCCACAGATTAAGAAAGTTCTGTATACTGGGATGAACTCGAAAGTGACGTCCTATGTATGTAATTATAAAACGACTGACGAGGTTTATCATAAAAACTCCGTATTAATAGATAATAAATATACAGTGGATAAGCCTATAGTATATGCTGATTACAAAAATGCTCCCGGTGCCTTATTGCCGTTACCCAGTACCGAAAATATCTGCTGCGTCGGAAATGCTGACAAACCACCGGACGACAAGTACAGCGCACCGGAGACTGCTCCCGATATCGACTTCATTTGTGATTATGTTCGCAAAATTATCTCTTCTTGCAATGATAATATGAGAATGCTGACTCCGCGTCCGACGATTAGACCACGGGTCAAAGCTACAGACATCGACAAACTATGTTATTGCAGAGAGACTAATTGGCCGCAAGGTGACCTAGCTGAAAGGTTTAGAAAGGAAGCTCAAGCGAATTGCCCGATTTGTGTAGACGGCGGTAGAAACGCAAGATCAAGTCACCCGCTCTCATTCGACATAGCGAACATAAGAGGTCCTTGCGGGAGACCTGATTGCAGAATCGCAAGAGATATGCGAGCTTATATTGAAAACCTATTTGAAGAAGATCAAAAAGAGGTTGTTATAGATGAAATTGTGGGACCTTGTGGAAGTAGGTCATGTACGTTAGCTAATAATATACAACAATTCATTCGTCATAAAGGAAAATTCGTCCACGGCAGACACGTACAGGGTTTGTCAACTCAATGCGCATGTGTGGACATAATGAATGAAGCACTTACTAGAAGAAGCTCGTGTAACACCTTGTGCAGTAAAGACTGTGAAAATAGTGAGAGTGAACAGTGCGATGGAAAAATTTGTCCTTTTAAGTCTACCAATGAAGATTCTAATGTATCTCCAGAAGATGCAGATGCGCTTGAACAAGAGCCAACTGCTGTTTATGCTGTTTATTATTGCTTGGTTCAGTATGACAAAGATTTAGGCGAACTTTCCTCGCAAAATAACTCCAAACCGTCTTCCAGATCACCTTCTCCTACTGGCTCAGTAGTTCGTCAATGTGCATTACCTTCATGCTCTAAAAGCACTTGCGGCACCGATGCATTTATCAATGCTCTGAAAGTACCCCCGACTTCAAAATGTGTAAGTCTAAGTTGTCCAGACTCTACACAAGTAGACCAACGAAGTCCAGATGATAGCCACGTCGAAATTCAGATATCGGAGATACATAATGCATGTTGTGTTAAAACTTGTACAGTAGGTGAGAGTGTAAAGAAATTTGTGATAGAAGCATATGAAAATCAAGAAAAGCGCAAAAAAATGGTATCAGACGTTCTTAATGATCCATGCTATTGCGATTGCTCATGTCAATTTAAGTCGATAAAGAAAACTTCATACTGCCCTGTTTGTGGAGGGTTTGAATGTCTAGGAGACGATACGGCTAAGCTCCCCGAGTACGCGAAACCACATCCGTGCCCCGTCTACCATAAATTGTACGACAAAACGAAAATTAGAACTGAAAGTCCTTTTCCAGAAGAAGGTAAAGAAAAAGAAGACGAAAAAAAAAAGTCCGGCACAGGCAGCTCTAGAAGTTTGAAAAACGCGTCGTCTAAAGAAGGAATGGAACCAAAAACAATTTCGTTACAAAAAAAGAAACGGAAAAAGAAGTCCGTTGGAAAATTTACAGCTAATGTTGAGGAAGAAGAAGGTGAATTTACTAATAATCTAGACTAATGGTGGTCATGTACATTACGGTCTACAATAGAGGCCTATCCGTGCAGGTACACTAAATTGCACAGATGTGTTCTAAAACACGTTCCGGTTTACTTGGGCAGGTACACCTGCACAGGTACATCTCTCCGGCGGTAGACCGTAACGTATATGGCCGCCATTGTTAACATGAGAAGAAGTAGTATAATATATTTGTGTCATTAATATTGGTAGCAGTTTGTATTCGTTGGTGAGGCAAGTTAAATATATTTAATAACACTCGATTTTCAGAAGTCAAGGTAGTTGCGAAGCCAAGCAATCCATGGGCTATTCCTGCAGTTCCAAAGACAATGGGATGGTTATGGACAGCCGATGATGTCCCGGGATTAAAGGTACCAGTGTTATCTATCGGTAACGATACTGTTATTGGGCTTAATATTACATATCTACGGTGTTATTATTTCCCGTAACTTCTGGCACAAGAAACGCATTTCTTAATGTCGTTAAATTTAGCGATCGCCCATGTCTATTGGTTTATAGATAGAGGGTGCGACGCGCCCTTCTCTCTTATTCTACTGAAGCACAACGAATATTGCCCACTAACATCGCAGTATATAACCATGATTATACAGCAAAGTCTGTGAAGATAGTGTGAATAAAAAAAATATCCTTCTATAATCTCAGTACAGAGTATCTACTAAAAAAACCGACCTCAAAAGTACGTGGAATTCATATATTTGTCAAGTTTTATTGAAATCGGTTACCTGAAAGTGCGCAAACCCGGATTCATCCCCTAGTTCGCCACTATACGGAACTTGACACCGGAGATAATAAAAATTGGTTCTCACTACTCAAAGTATATTACGAGAGTAAAACGCCTTGAATTGGAGAATACCAAAATCAACCATTAAAATAATTACTCCTTATAATAAAATTTAGGCGCTATTTATAAAAATGAACTTCATCTCTTCATGCGTGAACAGCCACCCTTAGAAGTGGATGATTTTCTTCAAAATTAAATGGGACCGCTATGGAGGTACCCTCTTTCCAACAATAAAAGAACCATCAAAATCGGTTCAGTCGAATTGAGAACCTCCTCCTTTTTTGAAGTTGGTTAAAAACTATCGTTGAAAACTATCCATTGGTCACCAAAAAACATTCCGATGCACCTCAACTTGATAACCAATGTATGTAATTCACCAAGACTCGACTGCAGTTTACGCTTTGTGTTACTGCTTAGTGCAGTATGATCAGCTAAATTTTACTAAACACCGCTAAACCCTCTTCTAGGTCTCCTTTTCTCATACTTGGAATAATAACGCATAGAAACCTAGTCCGCACACGCTAAGTGAGGCAAATTGAAGCGCGCCCAATGGGCCTACACGAGCGGGCGGGCCTTCAGTGCTCAAGGTCAACTTGCACCGCGAACAGCTCAAGAATTTTAGCTAAAAATGACGAAATGTGTAAATGAGTGTAAAAATACGTCAGACAAACATAAAATAGATACTAACATCACATTCCACAAGGAAGTAACGCGTTTCAACTTGTATTTTTATATAAATATTCACTAAAACCAAAAATTAACTTACTACTGAAACTAGTCTACATGAATTTGTTTTTTGCCTCACTTGTGACAGTTCGTTTGATATGAAACTATCATTCTATGCGTTATTATTCTAAGTTCTCATATAAGTTTGCACGAGAGACAGACAAGTAAATTTTTGCTAAAGAGCTTTTGGTTATACGTCGAGGTCACGCGGGTATTACGTGTTTTACAATTTTTTTTTCTACATAATACCAAGTGACGGGGCGAACAGCCTGGTGGTAAGCGACACGCCTGTCCACAACAGTTGTTGTGCCGCTCAGAGCTTTAAATAGCAAAGATCGGAGGGCACTGCCACAGCGCTCGTCACCCTGAGACACTAGTTAACAAGTCCCATGTGCCTGTAATTTAATATTCATACCTAGTTAGTAGAATCTTTGGACTGTTACACAACAGAAATAAGAGACGAAATGTCATTTAATTTGTTTGAAGACTATTCTGTCAAATCACACACGGACAGACTACTACACAAACAGATTACTAATTGGTATAATAATTTTTTCACCTCACTAGCTCGGAAAGGCTTTCTTTTACATTAGAAATCTGCGCGCAAAAGCGATTTTTCCACGCTAGCGTGGAAAAGATTTTTGGGAATGGATCTTGACGATGGAATATGGTGCACCTAACTTTTTCTTTCGATGAAAACAAAACACAATGAGAGATTTAACTAAGACATGTTGTAATACGTATTCATTTTTTTTATTATTTATTTTATTCACAATTAAAAAATTTACAAAAAGGAACACAAGACAGCGAATAAAAACCATTAACAGATTTATGTATCGCTGCCATCACATGCTATCAGGCGTCTAACAAAATAATTGCTGACCAATACTTATACGTATTTAATAATTTACGCAACTTACACTTAAGAACTAATAACTTTAACAATTTGATAAATGAATTGATCTAAGGATCGTTTTACAATTTTTTGGTTTACCCATAAGTTCATCAAAAACGTCACTTGGCAATTTATTAAGCAGTAATGGTAACATATATCTCCAGACGTGTTTTCCATAGTTGTTATTGTACGGTAATAATCCGTATATTGAATGAATAAAACTGATTTGTTATGTTCAACTGTTTCTTTCATCTATCATTTTCCTCGCTATATTGAGGTGAAAAATTGTGTGTTTTATTCGGCAGCGAAGTTGTTTTGCGTCTCGTGCGTTGAAACCCTCGCTACGCTCAGGATTCTATTTTTATAATATTAGGTTACCTTGTTTGCTAGGCAAGCACTCGCGTTAAACAACAACTTTGCAATCTTGCATAACAAATAACTATTCACGTTTCTTTTTGACTTATTCTGTTTTATAGAGCACATTGCGAACTCTATTAAAACATATTGCTATACAATAGACTTAGCAACGTTCTTTTTAGTTTATTATTTCTTGATTAAAAATCCGATTTGTAAGTGGCCTGGCTTACCTCTTCAAGTTACGGGAAATAATAAACCACCCTCTATAAGTAGTAAAGTTTACATTTTAACAATTAAGAATTTCATATAAAAACAAACAGAAATCTTTTCAAATTATGTCGGTCCAGAGCAGAGTTAGGTAGGTATATCTGAAAAAACTAGTTATATTAATAAAATTGAAGGTATTTTCTCGAAATTAACTTTCAATACAGAATTTCTGCCATTAAAACAAATTCTTTTTATTCAACGAATTTTATCTCAATATAAATTTATTTTTTTTAATTTTAACTCGGTATTTTTAACCTCAACTTTTTCCCATATGGCACATTTTACATTAGGAGGCCCAACAAAACGTCAAAAATATCACAGGGGGCCAGGATTAAAAAAATATTGTTGTGTAGCATTATGTTATTTTGTGTATGTGAAAATACACAAGGTTATTTGTAGAAATATATCAACTTTTCAGGACTTTATTACTAACATCTTAGAATAATAACGCATAGAAACCTAGCCCGCACACGCTAAGTGAG